TTTTTCCAATTGTATATCTGATAAGGGACTTGTATCCTGAGTTTATAAAGAACTCCTACAACTCAATGATATAAGGACAAATTGTTGTCATTGTTATGCAGTTGTGTTCAACTCTTTTGTGACCCTGTGGAGTGTAGTCCACCAGGTGCCTCTACCTAAGGGATTTCCCCGGCAAGAATACTGGAGGGGTTGCCATTTCCTTCTCCAGGGGCTCTTCCTTTAACCCCTGACCTTAATGCAGGGGTTAAACCCACATCTCCTGCATTTCCAGGATTCTTTACACTGAGCCACCAGGGAAACCCCATAAGGACAAATAACCCAATTTAAAATGGGCAAAGGATCTAAACAGACATTTGTCCAAAGAAGATATACAAATGAGCAAAAACACTTAAAAAGATGCTTGCCATCCTTAGCCATTAGGGAAATGGAACTCAAAACCACAACAAGATACCACTTCACATCCACAAGCAAGGCTAGGATTAAAAAATCAGACAACAAATACTGTGAGAATGTGAAGAAATTGGAGCCCTCATACACTGCTAGTGGGAATGCAAAATACCACTTTGGGAAATGGTCTTATTAAGAGAATGAAAAGATGATATTTTTTCCAATTGTATATCTGATAAGGGACTTGTATCCTGAGTTTATAAAGAACTCCTACAACTCAATGATGTAAGGACAAATTGTTGTCGTTGTTATGCAGTTGTGTTCAACTCTTTTGTGACCCTGTGGAGTGTAGTCCACCAGGTGCCTCTACCTACGGGATTTCCCCGGCAAGAATACTGGAGGGGTTGCCATTTCCTTCTCCAGGGGCTCTTCCTTTAACCCCTGACCTTAATGCAGGGATTAGACCCACATCTCCTGCATTTCCAGGATTCTTTACACTGAGCCACCAGGGAAACCCCATAAGGACAAATAATCCAATTTAAAATGGGCAAAGGATCTAAACAGTCATTTGTCCAAAGAAGATATACAAATGAGCAAAAACACTTAAAAAGATGCTTGCCATCCTTAGCCATTAGGGAAATGGAACTCAAAACCACGAGATACCACTTCACATCCACAAGCAAGGCTAGGATTAAAAAATCAGACAACAAATACTGTGAGAATGTGAAGAAATTGGAGCCCTCATACACTGCTAGTGGGAATGCAAAATACCACTTTGGGAAATGGTCCAAAGTTCCTCAACAGGGTAAATATAGAATTACCACATGATCTAGAAATTCCTCTCCTAGAAATACCCCAGTAATAAAAGCATTTGTCCATCCAATAACTTGTACCTGTTTATAGTAGCATTATTCATAATGACGCCAAAATGGAAATAACTCAAAAGTACATCATTGATCAAATAATAAATAAAATGTGGCATGTATATACAACGAAATATTACCTGGCACTAAAAAGAGATGAAGTGTTAACATACTATAGCATCAATGAACCATGAAAACATTATACTAAGTAAAAAGAGCCAGTCACAAAAGACCACATATTGTATGATTCCATTTATAAGAAATGTCCAGGACAGGCAAATCCATAGAGACAGAAAATAGATTGGGGTGGCTTGGGGCTGGGAGGGAGGGTTCTGGGGAAAATGGAGAGTGGCTGCTAATGGGTATGAGGTTTCTTTGTAGGGTGATGAAATATTCTAAAGCATATTGAGATATTAAGGTGATGGTTAGACAACTCCATGGATACGTTATAAGCCATTGAATTGTACATTTTGAATGGGTGAATTATATATGAATAATAATAATTTTTTTATTAAAAAGTTAAAAGTAAAAACAAATGGAATTTTAAAAGTCTATAGTATGTAAACCAGTTAAGAGGAGAAAGGAAAAAATAAAGAAAAATGTATTAATTTAATAGATAGCAAGAAAGTCAAGAAAGGAAAATTACCTGGTAATAACTAAATCTAAATAAATTAGATCCATTCATTCTAAATCTCATCATTCATAAGTTTTGCCTATCAAAAGAAAAAACAATGGATTGATTACAAATAATAATAATCAAACTATTTATTTTTCATTAAAGCATCCCAAATATAAAATCACAGTGAATATCTACAAATAAAAAGAGCAAGCTATACCTGAAAATACAAATAGAAAGAAAGCAAGCTATGTGGCATTTCCAATATAAGAGAAAATCTAATTTAATGGAAACAGTGTTATTAGAAATAAAAAGAAAACTCCCATATAGGTCAAATATTCTAGCAAGAAAGTATAACAATCATGAACACATATGCCATGGAATAATCATACAATGCAATATATCACAGAAATGAAAATGAATGAGCTAGATCTTAAATGTATCAACATTAATTAATTTAAAAATGCATTGAGTGAAAAAGCAAGGTATATTTCAAAACATGGAGAATGACACTTTTATGTAAGTTCTAGAACATAAAACAACATAATATTGCAGATGAATAAATACACAGCCCTTGATTTCATAATTTAATGACCTATTTGAATGAATGCAAGCTATACCTGAAAATACAAATAGAAAGAAAGCAAGCTATGTGGCATTTCCAATATAAGAGAAAATCTAATTTAATGGAAACAGTGTTATTAGAAATAAAAAGAAAACTCCCATATAGGTCAAATATTCTAGCAAGAAAGTGTAACAATCATGAACACATATGCCATGGAATAATCATACAATGCAATATATCACAGAAATGAAAATGAATGAGCTAGACCTTAAATGTATCAACATTAATTAATTTAAAAATGCATTGAGTGAAAAAGCAAGGTATATTTCAAAACATGGAGAATGACACTTTTATGTAAGTTCTAGAACATAAAACAACATAATATTGCAGATGAATAAATACACAGCCCTTGATTTCATAATTTAATGACCTATTTGAATGAACACTTCAATTCAACCACTGCTGCTTTAATACAGGAATTGCAGGGGTCGAAGGAAGTGGTCCCCACCCCCATAGAATCTGAATTTGTACAACATTTACTAATAACTTAATCAAACTGACAATCGGATTCAAATTTCAAAAGATGCACAGGATGCCTCCAACATTCCTGGGCTGCTGCTCTGTGCTGGGAGTAGAAAGATGAATGAGACCTAGCTCTTGTCATGAGGGACCTCTCAGCTCTCAGGGCTGAAGGAAAGGTCAACAAATGATGGAACAGATAGAAGGTTGGAAAACTCTGAGAACGCACACGGATTCCTGTCTGTGAGCTCAGGGAAGACTTTCTGGAGAAAATGCCTTCTACACAGTCTTAAAGGATGAGTGTTGCTGTTTAGGTGAAGGTGGTGGGTGATACTGACAGGAACAAAAACATGCAACCAGAGCAGCAGGGGGTACATGGAACCCTCCACCATGCATACCATACCAAAGTTTGGTATTTCTGGTTTGGGCAGGAAGTACAAGGTGCAGATAGCAAAGGAGGAGGGGGCATCTGTTCAGAGGAATGGATAGAGCAGATCACCAAGCATCATATACACATGCCAAAGAACTAGAACCTCAACCTAGAAGGCAAAGGGACTACTGCAGGTTTTTCCAGCAAGGTGTGGTTAGATTTGCCTTTTGGGATACCTCACTCAGGCGGCCAGATGGGGGCTCAGACTGGGACAGAGGAGGTGACTTCAGAAGATGGGGGAAATCTGAGGGCGAACCTGGTATTGGAGAAGTACACATAAACTTTTTAGGATTTGGTGAGATTAGCATGAGGCAAAGAAGAATCTGGAAATATGGCCCACTTGGGTGACAGCTAGTGGGTCATCAACAGCATCAAGGGATGGGTGACAGGGCGAAGACCATCACGAGTTCATTCTATGATGTTTCACACTCTCGAAGGCCACGAGGAGATCCATCAACTCCTCTCATTCTCCTGACTACTAACTGTGCAATTTATGGAGGTCAGTGATAAGAAGCAGGGGTGTGTGTGTTGGCAGGGGGGTGGGGGTGNGGTGGGGGGGGGGGTGGGGTGGAAGAAGTGATTTGTTAATGATTTCAGCTTGTGGCTTTTTGATATTTTCTTGTAGTAATTATCTTGATTTCACATAATCTATGACAAGAAACACTGACACAAGAATTGCAGTGGGAAGTTAGGCGTCACTGAATTGTATTGAAATAAGAGAATTGCTAACATGTAGCCCTGACATTTTAGCAGTATCAAATCTGATTTTGTCACATTTACAAGGCACCGTGAGCTGGGATCCAGAGGCGGTGTGTTATCATTGCCTAACATAGTGTTCCTTAATTATCAGCACTCTCACACTTCCTGCACAGCAGATTGGAATCACTAGAAATAGCACAAACTTGAAAATTAGCGTTTTTCTCTTAAATAATCAGGATGCTATATTTATAATTTTCATGGGATTGGAGTCTTAACAAAGGTAAACTAATTTCACACTCTAAGGTGAGATAATGTTGTTGTTGTTGTTGTTTTTCTCTCTCTCTTCTTATTGTGTGATTTCCCCCACCCCTTCCAGGGTCTATTTTTTCCGTTTTTAAAAATTTCCATAGCAAGAATAATCCTATCCATTTCCCCCTCCCCCAAAAGGTGTTTCTGCACTTGGCTTGCCCTTGTGATAATTCACTGTGATGGCAAGGAACCCACAACGGAATGGAAGATTTGGCTTTTCTTTATAGTTACTCACCAGCCTGTGACATTAGCAACCAGTGATCACAGGGACTGCACAATTTTTAAACATCAACAAAAGTCAAAATGCTTTGTCTAGATCGCTGAGCTCTAAATCACATATAAACTACTGCCCACCAACAGGCAATTGAGTGGGAAAAGAACAGAAAGGAGGAAGAAAATTAAACAAGGGATAATAGATGGATGGGATTCTGAGTGGTCCTTGGCACAGAAGTGAAGTATATAGAATCAACACTTGGAGGTTCCCTCCTTCTATGGGTCCTCTTTCTTCCTCTGTACCTACCTTATCCTGCATCACAGGCACACTGCCCTTGGGCAGCCCCATGCAAGCCCACCTCCCCAGAATGTATCCTTGCTCCAGAATCCTTCACTCACCACATCAAAACTGCCATCTTTAAAGTGATGCTTTCTGTCTAAATCCACGGCTGATTCATGTCAATGTATGGCAAAAACCACTAAAAAAAAAAAAAAAAGAAAAGGAAAAAACAATGTCCTATATCTACACAAGAAAACATTCAACAATGAATAAAGCAAAATCTTAACATGTTATAACACACACACCAAAAAAAAAAGAAAGAAAGAAAAAGAAATAAAGTGATACTTTCTGTCTTAAGAAGCAACCTACCTTTTGGAATGAATTTGTCTTTCATTACAAATGCCTGATGTCCAGCATCCTAGTTATTCTTGAGTTACTGGCATTTTTCAAAAGTGTAAAGAAATAAAGTGTGTTATTTCAAGTCCTGGAAAGAGGAAGGTATCCTGGAGCTTAGATGCCTTCTTGTAGTTATGGAAGGTTTCTGGTAATCTGTCTGTGTGCAAGGCCAGCTTTGGAAGAATGCAAAGACTGCCCTGTCAGCATCCTTCATGTCACACTTACATGTTATACTTTTGGGTTAAGCTTCGCCACAAAGAACAGGTTCTCTCTGGCAAAGACATTGTAAACTTGAGGCAAAGGATTGTAACTAATACATCTTTGTTTTTATACCACTGTTGCTGTGCACACTGCCTGACTGTTGTGAATGTTCAATAAATAGATGTTGATAATGAAAGAGAGTGAGAAAGAGAGCAGCAGAGAATGCCAGACAGAAGCCAGAGTTTTTAGGATGGGAAGGTACAGGATGTTTAAACAGAACATTGTTGAAAAGAAGGCACAAGAAGCTAAGAGGAAATTTGAGAAAAAATGCAATGTAAAACAAAAGAGGAATTTAGAACTGTAGGTTCTTAGGTTTACGGCAGGAGGAGATCTTAGAGGGCACTGAAATCTGCTCATATTCTAAACCAGAATTCTGTGCCTGAATTGTGGAAGGCTCTGTCTATCTTGAGGGCTTTCCTGCTGGCTCAGATGGTAAAGAATCTGCCTGCAATGCAGGTGATTGGGGATTGATCCCTGGGTTGGGAAGATCCCTTGGAGAAGGGAATGGCTACCCACTTCAGTATTCTTACTTAGAGAATTCCATGGACAGAGGAGCCTAGCAGGCTTACAGTCCATGGGGTTGCAAAGTTGGACATGACTGAATGACTAACACACACACACACACACACACACACACACACATCTGAATGTCTGGATCATTTAGAACTCAGCAGGTGAATGGTCAAGGAGGGTCTCTATGAGGCTGGTAGACATTGTAGGTGTTGGTCCTTGGCCTATGATGTAAGAGCTTCACACTGGGGAATCACAACTCTAAAGAGAGCCTATAGGAAAAATTATCCTAACTCACTTCTGGATGATCTATCTTTTCCACTCTCACACTAGGTGCTGTGGGAATTCATTCCCTTCCAGATTCTGGGAGTGAGTGGGGTGCTCAAGTGTGACCAATCACAGCACTGCATTTCCCTGGCCATTGTGAGTGGTCCAGGGATGGGTGCAGGACCCAATCCCAGTTCCAGAAAATAGAACACAGCCTTGGCACTTTCTGGGGCTGTTGAGAAAGGAACCCAACTCCAAATCATGATATACATAACAAGGGTTGCCCAGCAACTTTCAGCATAGAGTGAAAAAATTGGTGAATCCTCTCCTCAAAACACAACAAAAATATGTGGCCTAAATGATCATTTGAGACTTATTAAAACTGACCAGAGATAAAGAGCATATTGAGAAGTGTTTATTCATGCAAAACCAACTGACCTTCAGGTATGAAGGCATCTTGTCTGGGACTGTGCTTATTCCTCATTATTTCCTTCTGTCTTAATTTGGTTGCCTAGGTGGTTCTACCAGGATAAGATGGAGTGTCAACGCCAACAGCTTAATCACAGCTGGGAGAAATATTTGTAAATCATATATATGTAAATAATTTATGTTAAAATATATAAAGAAGTCTTATAACTCAATAATGAGAAGATAAGCAAGCCAACTTAGAAACAGGTAAAAAGGTTTTAAGTATACATTTTACCAAAAGAATATACAAATGGCTAATGAGCACAGAAAAATGTACTCAACATCATTAATCATTAGTGAAGCAGAATTAAAATCACAATGGGACCTGATTAAACTTAAAAGCTTTTGCACAGCAAAGGAAACTATAAGCAAGGTGAAAAAAACACCCCTCAGAATAAGACAAAATAATAGCAAACAACTGACAAAGGATTAATTTCCAGAATACACAAGCAGCTCATACAACTCAATGCCAGAAAAACAAACAGCCCAATCAAAAAGTTGGAAAAAGACCTAAACAGACATTTCTCCAAAGAAGACATACAGATAGCTAACAAACACATGAAAAGATGCCCAGCATCACTCATTATTAGAGAAATGCAAATCAAAACTACAATTAGATATCACCTCACACTGGTCAGAAAGGCCATCATCAAAAAGTCTACAAACAATAAATGCTGGAGAGGGTGTGGAGAAAAGGGAATGCTCTTGCACTGTTGGTGGGAATGTAAATTGATAGAGCCACTATGGAAGACGGTATGGAGATTCCTTAAAAAACTAGGAATAAAACCACCATATGGCCCAGCAATCCCACTCCTAGGCATATATCCTGAGGAAACCAAAATTGAAAAAGTCATATGTATCCCATTGTTCATTGCAGCACTATTTACAATAGCCAGAACATGGAAGCAACCTAGACGTCCATCAATAGATGAATCAATAGATGAAAAGAATTTGTGGTACATATACACAATGGAATATTACTCAGCCATAAAAAGGAGTGCCTTTGAGTCAGTTCTAATGAGGTGGATGAACCTATAACCTATTATACAGAATGAAGTGAGTCAAAAGAAAGAGAAAGATAAACATCATATTCTATCACATATATAAGGGATCTAGAAAAATGGTACTGAAGAATTTACTTCCAGGGCAGCAATGGAGAAACAGACATAGAGAACAGACTTGTGGACAGGGGGAGAGGGGAGAAGAGGGTGAGATGTATGGAAAGAGTAACGTGGAAACTGACATTGCCATATGTAAATTAGGTAGCTTATGGAAATTTGCTGTATGGCTAAGGAAACTCAAACAGGGGCTCTATATAAACCTAGAGGGGTGGGATGGGGAGGGAGATGGGAGGGAAGTTCAAAAGTGTAGGGATATATGTATACCTATGTCTGATTCATGTTGTGGTTTGACAGAAAAGAACAAAATTCTGTAAAGCAAATTATCCGTCAATAACAAATAAATAAATTATATTTTAAAAAAGATCTGAGCATTGTACTAAGAGCAAAAGGCTCAGCTTTAATAAAACTGAAGGGCTTTTGTAAAATAAAGTTGCAGATAGTTGNCTTTTCCAGTGGATCTTCCTGACCCAGGAATCAAATGCAGGGATTTCCTGCATTGCAGGCAGATTCTTTACCATCTGAACTACCAGGGACACCTGATACGTTATGTACACCTTAATAAATCTGTTTAAAAAAAAAAGAAAAATGCCTAGCTTCAAGAGGGTTCAGAGACATGCAAATTAAGGGACATAACAAATAACCTTTGTGATCTATCATATGGCACAATACTAAAGAGTTAGATTACATACCCCTTGGTAGAGATTTAAGAAGAAAGTTGGAATCATTATTTTAGCTTTTTTTATAAAGAAATATAAAAAATATTATAATTAAAATGATCTATATTTTCTGGCTCTGTTATCCCACACCTAAAAAGATATCCCACAGGAATAAAGATACAGCATTCAAGTATATATTTTAAAAGATTTTGTTACAGCTTTATATTTAGTAGCAAATTTTTTTATAAAAAACCTGGAAACAAAATGATTAATTATCAATGTGGAATGCATCTGTACTGTGTCTGTAGAGTTCAGTTACAGCGAATTTGAAGATAAAGTGGGTTGATGTGGGGGATGAGGTAGGCACACAACGCTTGGGAGCCTGGAGGAGTGGGTCTACCTTGAGTTTTCAGGGACGACTAGCAGGACACCAACGGAGAGCTGACCCACCAAGGTTGCTGCTCTCTTTGTCACATCAGACAGTGACAGTGACTGACTGTATTATTCTCCATTATTTGCTCCCCTTCCTACTAAGAGCGTTACACAGCTCCACCCCATTAACATAAAGCTTGGTCACATGACTTGCTTTAACCAATGAAATGTCAGTTGGAGTGATGCATGTCGGTTCTTTTCTCAAAAACTAGCCGTTTAAAAGGGAAGAAGGGGAAACTGTTATGAATTAAAAGTGACTTAAGAGAAATATCAGTAAAATGTAATTCAAGGACCTTCTTTAGAACCTGATTAGACAAAGTGTAGAAAAGCCTTTTTTTAAAAAATCAAAAAGTCAAATCCGAATACAAATTGGATGATATTCAACAAATGTTTATTTTGTAAGATGAATTAAGTATTGTGATTATTTTTTAAAATCCTCATCTGCTAAAAATATATGGTAAAGTGTTTGTAGGCAAAATGTGATGATATTTGGAATTTACTAAAAAGAAAAAATATTGCAACCCTCACTAGAAAGAAAGGAAGAATGGAAGGAAAGAGGGAAGGAGGGAGAGAGGAAGGAGGTAGAAGTGTATCAGGTTTTTGTTGTTGCCATACAAATTAACACAAAGTCGTTACTGAATTTGTTACAATATTGCTTGTTTTATGTTTTGGTTTTTTTGGCCGGAGGCATAAGATCCGCAAGGGATCTTGTCTCCCCAAGCAGGGATCAAACCCACTCCCCCTGCATTGGAAGGGGAATTCTTAACCATTGGACTACCAGTGAATCCCTTTGCCTCTATATTAAAGCCAGCAAAGTTGCTTTTCTCTGGTCATTCTTTCTTAGTTACATCTCTTTTTAACTTCAGTCAAGTAAGCTTCTCTGATTTTAAGGATTCACATGATTAGGTTTGGCACATCTATATTATTCAGGAAAATCTCCTCATTTCAGTGTACTTAACTTAGTCACACCCTCAAAATCCCTTTTGCCTTGGAAGGTAACATAGTCCTAGAGGATAGAATGTGAACATCTTTGGGGGCATCTTTCTACCTACAGCAGGAAGGATTAATGAAAGAAGATTGGTGAAATG